TTGTTTATTTAAACATTCATTCGAATTTGAAAACTATTTGGATTTTATCGTTGAACCGAAATTTAGGGTAGCTTTATCCAAATTTCGTTCATCTTCTCATAGTTTGGATATTGAACGTGGACGGCATAGAAATATACCAAGAAATGAAACATTGTGTAGTAATTGTAATGCCGGTCTTATAGAAAATGAGTATCATTTTGTATTAATATGTTCTAAATTCCAGGACTTAAGATCAAAATATATAAAGAGATATTATTATACGTGGCCTACTAAACAGAAATTTGTTAATCTCATATGTGCAAAATCAAAAGCAATAATTAATAATTTAGCAAAATATATATACTATGCAAACTTGCGAAATAACTAGTCATCTTTAATGCAGATACATATATATATTATATTATTGTGCTCTTCTGTAAACCATGTCTTTGTATAAAAAATTGTATTGCTATGGAACATGTTGTTTTTAATGTAATAAAAATATTTGTAGTTGTAGTTGTAGTTAGATATATAGGGAAACTGCTGACCAGTTAGATATATAGAGAAAAATATATTTTGCCGTGAAATTGTTACTCATTTTATAATGTATGCAAATTTTATATATTATATAAAATTATGTCGACAATTTATTAAGTAAAAACACTGCTGACCAATTTAATGTTAATTCAAATTGATTTAAGCCGTAAAACTCTTCTTATTCTATATGGTCAGCAAATTTAACGCTCTTTACATTCAGGCGAGAAAATGCTGACCAGTTAAACATACAGTAGAATCTGCTGACCAGTTAGATATATAGGGAAACTGCTGACCAGTTAGATATATAGAGAAAAATATATTTTGTCGTGAAATTTAATTCATTTTATAATGTACGAAATTCAATATATTGTATAAAATTTTGTCGACATTTAATTAAGTAAAAACACTGCTGACCAATTTAATGTTAATTCAAATTGATTTAAGCCGTAAAACTCTCTTATTCTATATGGTCAGCAAATTTAACGCTCTTTACATTCAGGCGCGAGAAAATGCTGACCAGTTAAACATATATAGTAGAATCTGCTGACCAGTTAGATATATAGGGAAACTGCTGACCAGTTAGATATATAGAGAAAAATATATTTTGCCGTGAAATTGTAATTCATTTTATTATGTATGCAAATTCAATTTATTTTATAAAATTATGTCGACATTTAATTAAGTAAAAACACTGCTGACCAATTTAATGTTATTTCAAATTGATTTAAGCCGTAAAACTCTTCTTATTCTATATGGTTAGCAAATTTAACGCTCTTTACATTCAGGCGAGAAAATGCTGACCAGTTAAACATATACACATGTAGTAGAATCTGCTGACCAGTTAGATATATAGGGAAACTGCTGACCAGTTAGAAATATAGAAAAAAAATATATTTGTCGTGAAATTTTAATTCATTTTATAATGTACGAAATTCAATATATTGTATAAAATTTTGTCGACATTTAATTAAGTTAAAACACTGCTGACTTATTTAATATTAATTCAAATTGCAATTATTGCTTTTGAAAATACATTTTTTTCCGTTACAAGATTTTTCTATTGAAATATCACTAACAAGAGATTTTGATAAAACTCATAACATCATAATTCTTTATAAAACATTAATTCAAATTTTTGCATATCTTTAGAGGTATAAAAAGCTGTTTAATATATCCTTTTAAAATCACGGATTTATATTACATGTAGTAATGTAAATTCGTGTTAAAATGTATGATATTATGGTACTTTAAATGTATATATTAATTTAGTTTATAAACATAGTCATATAAATGCAAAAATTAAAAATATAATTAAAAGAATAAAAGTAATTTCCCATCTTTTTATTACCCCCTACGGCGTGTTTATATAAACTTCACACCTTCAATGTTTCCCTTCTTTGTGTAACTGGTCAGCATTTTCCGATAATCCTTCTTTATTTAACTGGTCAGCAGTTTCCTATATATCTATATCGTCAGCTAATTCGTCAGCAGTTTAGTGCGACCCCTTCCATGATCGCACCGTTTGTCGGTGAGTTAGTAAATTCTCACCAAGCACCGGTAGACGCACGACAATGCGATACGATATTATTCCAAATGTCGCTTCGCATTGTCGAGTGTCGCTTCGCGTTGTCGAGTATCGCTTCGCGTTGTCGAGTGTCGCTTCGCATTGTCGAGTGTCGCTTCGCAATGTTGAGCGTCGCGGTGTAAAAATCATAAAAATAACGCGACATTTACTCGACATTTTAAAAATGTCGCTTCGCGATGTCGAGTGTCACTTCGCATTGTCGAGCGTCGTATCGCATTGTCGCGTTGTCGTTTCGCATTGTCGAGTGTCGTGGTATGCACTTCTACCAACCTCGACACTCGACAATGCGAAGTGACAATGCGACAACGCGAAGTGACATCGCGACAACGCGAAGCGACGCTCGACAATGCGAAGCGACACTCGACAACGCGAAGCGACATTTCTTAAATGTCGCCTTTTTTTACCGCGACATTTCTAGGCGACAGTGCGACATATCGTTTGACACTGTCGAGCGTCGCTTCGCATTGTCGCATATCGCTTCGCGTTGTCGAGCGTCGCTTCGCATTGTCGCGATGTCACTTCGCATTGTCGTGTGTCTACCCTTAGACGCGACGGACGACATTCTAAATGGCACGATAAGGACACCGTAAACTTTGCATATTGTGCGATTTTTTGGGAGATAATCAATATGGTCATATCGCCTGACCTATATATCGAGTTATGGAACGTTTAATGTACAATATAGAAATAGATACCGCTATACCGATATGATGGAATATAATATATTTCTTCACTTGATTAACTGTGATACCCTAATGAAATGGATTAACTAACGAAATAGATATCAATTCTGAGTATAATGCACGATTTTAGTTCAAATGCGTACTAATATAATCACGAAGGCCGATAGTGATTAATTACAAAGCATTTGAACGAAAAACGTGCATTATTATACAATAATGCACAAAGAATTAATATCCATTTCCATTCTAACACGTCAAGAAAAAATATAATTATTATTATAATGTTGGACTTTATGTTTGGTGGTTAAATTTGTTTTCGCCTCAGAGTTTCCAATAGAAACGTTCTTTAAAGGCTGTTACAGTGGTATGAAAAAAACTGTCGTGTAGAAACATTTTGAGAATAACGCATTTTGAAAACAGTGATAAAACTTTGTTTATTTTATTTCACTCTATAATTTTTCAAGCGAAATAAAAATTATTAAAATTGAAATAAATGTAAAACTTTACTCGTTTGCGACATTAAAATAGCGTACTTGATTTGATTGTTTTACACGTGCTGTTTTGGCGCTAATTTGTGACGTCCACGTAAAACAAGTACTTTTAAACGTCTGTACAGCGTTAAGACTGAAAATTGGTGTTGTTCGGATTCAAATTTTCTTGTTAGATACCAATATTTTTTCATTCTAGATTAGTTTTTCACAAAAAAAATTCGAACAAAAAAATTTTTTAAATTTATGCAGATTTTTCAAAACCCAAAATGGGTGCCCTCAATGTGAATAAATACACAGAAAAATAATAAAGAACGGCAGTGCATTTTTTTGAATTATTATGCCGCTTCGGTGCCTTCTTTGTTTATATAGTAAAAAATTTCCGATAGTGGTTTAGAATCTATATTTTGTGCATTGTCCCAATAAATGTACATGTATTTTGGCGTTTGAACTAACTTTAATGTGAAAGAAATAGAAATTGAAAACTTTAAGGGGCATAATCTTGTCAGCGAAATACAAGATTAGCCACCTGGTAAATTGCACTATAGTCTAAAGATGTATGTTTACTTATGTATTCCCTCATTCCCAGATCTTGCAATCAATGACAAGATATGAGGAGGAACAATTAGATAACAGCCGTTTCGCTTGTAAAATAAGTAATAGAAAGAGCACCGAAACACGAGGCTATCTGATTTGTACGAGGGGGCGTAGCCCCCGAGTATAAATCAGATTGCCGAGTGTTTTGGTGTTCTTTCTCTTTTGTATCATAGTCAAACATAAAAGCACGTTCCCTGTTGTCACAATATGAAACCCCGGCAAAAATGAACCAATGAACGAACATCTGAATATGACATTTCTGTCGCTTTCCCTTTCTCTGCCGTCACAATATGTAAACCCCAGCAAAAATGAGCCAATCAATTGGCATGCTCTGGAGTGCGGGTAACTAATACCCGCACTCCAGTTAACGCACTCTGCATGTATATGTATACGATTTAACCCAGACACATTTTCAACAGAAAGGTCTCCGAACTATGATACAACATCTAGATATACATATATTTGAACTGTAAAAATTGTATTATATAGGATGTATCACACATTTGTATCATAGTTCGGAGACCTTTGGTGTTCACGAGGTGAAATATGTTTCGATCTTACAATAAACTAAACAAATGTTCTTTTTATTATATGCAAACAAATGTTAAAAAGGACATTTTTACCTAATACTAAATGAATAGCGCCCCAAATGATTATACAACGTGACGTCATTTACGACGTCACGTTATTAAGTTGGTTTCCAGTTCTGTGTACGCTGGTATTTCACTGAAACAACGTAAGGGGCTTAAATTCAAAAGTTTTAATTCACTGATATATTTCTATAAACGTTCGGAAAGCATGTAATAATAATAATATTATTATTATTATAATTATTATTATAGTGTATCGCTTACATTTAGCGCGACTGTACACTTTGTTTGCATAACGCAAATGACGTCACGTCAAAAGTAATGCACGGGCGTGCAATATCGTTTTTACGGAGTCGCAAAATCGGCACAGGTATGTGATAAAAATGAATTTTGTTTTTGCATAACATGTACTTATTTTGTATAGGAATACTTTATATGGACATTTATATCAGAATATTGATATGAGTATACGAATTTTAATTGTGAATACTGCATGTGGATTTTATTTATGAATATTTAGTATTAAAAATATTTTAAGCATTTCGTAAATGAATAATTAATACAGCGAACAAATGAAAATGAACATTGTACCGTTTTTAGGCAGTGGAAATGGCACCTTGAAAAGATCTTGGAACTTTTCCATGGATACTTTCATCACACGCATGGAGTATCGGGCTTGTTCAATACGGTCTGGTGTTGCAAATACACGAATCTGGTGTGATAAAAATGTTTATTATATACCTATAAATTTTCTCCCTAAAATACACGCAAATATTGAAGCGCAAATACGCTTCAACGGATAGAAATTTCCGTATTATGTTAGTGACAAATACGGTACCATATATGGAAGTGCCGGACTATTTTTGACGTTGGTTCCGATCTTAGCTTTGTATAACGTTGCATTTAGAAACGGGAACCAAAATTATCAAAGGCGTGGCCGGTTTGCAAGAATTACGTATTCATCCGTCAGTCATGAATTTATTTCTTGACAACTACATTTCATTTTCTGAATAAAACGAAAAGGTATATAATAAAAGGAAAATTATGTTATAGTAGCTTTCTGAGACTATGTATTTTTCTACTCGCAACGTTGGAAAATTGATATCTCGCTCGACCTTCGGTCTCGCGAGATATCAATTTTCCACCGCTGCTCGTAGAAAAATACAAAGCCTCAGAAAGCTACTACAACATAATATTCCGTATTTATATGAAGTTTAACGGAGAAGCAAAATGACATAATATTATATTACAGGATAAACATGTTTACATGAAGGTTTCGTAACAAATTATGAGACAATCGTCATGTTTAAAAGAAGTAGAAAAAAGAAGTCGAACATAGTAGATCTAGTTCTACTTTTTCAGTTGATTTACGACCCTTAGACAATAAGTGACAAGATAATTAGTAAATCATTAACGCAGTTTTTTCCCTACTGAAATGTGTACATGTGTACATGTTATTCACCGAAATCTTAGCATACCTGAGTTCCATGTTTTGTTGTATCTGTGAGATTTTTGAAATCGCAGACGACAAAACACACGAGGTATGTTGACATGGGAACAGAACGCTGAAAATGTGTCGCTTTTAACGTAGGATCGTGTTCCCAGGACTCCGAAATCTGTAAACACAACTCTGATGTTTTACGTAACGAAAGAATAATGTAAAATGTATAGAAACACTGAAAAAACGGAACTTGTCTTAAGGAAAGAAAACAAAAACGAGATAATAGCAGACTCGGTTTGATTGGACAAAAACAGACTCGGTTGACTGACAAATAGAGAATCGGTTTGAATAAAAAGGGGAACTCGGTGTGAAAGAAAAAATCCTACTCTATTTGAATGAAAAAGCAAACTTTGTTGACAGACACGGTTTAACTGAAAAATAACAGATCCAAACTTAACTGTACACTTCAGTTTTAGTTTATGCCGACTTGAAATTTATTTGTCCCTAACATCAATAAAGCTCCCACTCCCCCTAAAGATATATAGGTAATAAATGACACTTGAATGTTGTATATAGCATTATTTCATATATCATAAACTACTGTTTAAGTAGAGGTTGATTCTTCTACTCAACTATACAGAGGACATCTACAGATAATTTACTTGTTTTTTTCTGAGGATGACTTCGTTTTTATTTGTTTGGGTCGTCAGACCAAACAAATAATGGTAGCGAAATTTCAGAGTCTAATGTTCTTAATTGCAAATGCCGAAAGTAGTCCACTTTTTTGAAGCGGTTACTTCCCTTTTGTATGTACACTAAAGCCGAAAAATTCAGGGGAGATCACTGCGTAAAGATGGTCAAAGACAGGCGCATCAATTTTCAAGCAAAGTAATTCCCGAATGGTCGAAGATTTCTAATATTGTTTTCTGGTATTTTCTGATCGAAAATAACTAAATACAAAGCGGACATTCAATCTCTGACACAGAAGTTTATGACAAACCTAACAACAAGTAGTTCTCAAAACAGCTTAAAACTAGCGATTTAAAAGAAAGAAATATTTTATTTTGTTACAAGTATCCAACAAATTACAACGCATTTAAAGTTAAACAATAGCGTTGGCTTATAGAATTGTCAATAAATGCACAATCACAAATTACGCGGATGAATATGATTTTATCAATGAAAATACTATTTTTAGCCATGTAGATTACCGAATACTACACAAACCGAGTAGTGGAATATTCTACATGTCGGACTGTTTGGGCGAGAGGATTTTCGCTAAAATATTTACTTCAATTTTAAACAATAGGCTTACCCTGAACAAAATACCTCGAAATTAATAAGGATTACAAACCTGAATGCAATGGAAGTTCTAAATTTAGAATGACTTGATATTATTCAGACGTTTTGTGTATAATTTCTCCGTGGTACAGTGGTAACGCGCTCGCTTAGTGAGTGAGAGGTCTCGAGTTCGAGGCCCAGTCGAGAAAATTTTTTTTTGTTAAATTCTTTTTTTAAGTGTTTTTGTTAAGGAAGTAGCCATGATTTACAAGGATAAAGTGTGGCTGTCGTAAAAAAAGTACATAAATGATTTTTTGATGCAACTCTAGTTATGCAGAATTCCGTATGTGCCTTACAAAATGAATTATAATACATAAAAATAAACTTATACAGGAAAATGCATACAGATATACAGTACGATTTAGATTGCAAAGATCAGAAAATACCAAAGAACTTGAAGCCCTTTGATTCTTTATAAATATACATGCTTATAGTAAGCTTCAGGATTATTTACATCTGTGTTAAACAACAGTTAAAAGTCGTTACAAGCCCTAATTTAGAATAATATGGTTTTCTTCAGGCCGTTCACATATAAATTTAACCGTGGCTGAAGGGTTTTCGGGCTCGCTTAGGAAGCGAGAGGTCTGGAGTTCAAATCCCAGTAAAGGTAACTCATTTTTTTAAATTGTTAAAGTCAAATAAACATTGGATTGAATATCAGTGTTGCAATTAGTCTTATAGCCAATTTACTACAATTAAAACGCTGGAAAGCATTGGTGGCACTAAACATATAATCTCACAACCTGCACCTTTCTTACATTCTGAGACCCAAACAAATTCAGCGCCTTCTGTGCTTTGATTGTTGTTTGCGGTTACTTAAAAGTGGTTATCTATATATTCGCCTTTAGTTTTAAGATTCAAGACAGTACTTTATATAACGATGTTGTATAATATGACTATACATGAGATACATACCGTTTCAGGCATATTTGATAGAGCTATATAACTATCTCTGTGTACAAGGGTTACGGTGTACTCGGCTTTGATGTTAGGCTCGTCAAAACAAGGGAATGCTCGTCGTGCATCTACTGGCTGGAACTTGGATGATGCCAAATGTCTGAATTTTTAATGTAAATATTGTTGAAAACGTGACAAAATCAAAATCAAAAGCCTTTGTACTAATGATAAATAATTAATGTGTATGTAAATTATATATGTAAATGTTTATCATAGATGTACATGTAAATAATGTATGTTTATGTTAATTATATAAGTAAATGTAAATTATGTCTTTGACTGTAAATAATGCAAATAAAATATATATAATGTTTATGTAATTTGTGTATGTATAAGTAGCACATATGTCTAATTGTGTACATTATTCATGTATTTCTATAAATATGTAAATTAAATAACTTTTGGTAAATAACATATCTATATTTGAATAATATACATGTATGTATTTGTAAATAACATATATATATATGTGAATTTTATATGTTTTTGTAAATTATATATGTATATGTAAATTACTAAAATTATCTATAGTAGATATGTAAATGCAAATTATATATTATGTATCTTTTAATTATACATGATTGTGTAAATTATACATAATTATATTTATCTAAATAATATTTGTATATGTAATTGATATATCATGATTATTTAAAGTAAATAAGTATATGTAAATTACAGTCAAATGCGCGGCAAGATGATAAACCTTACATTATGATCTATACCACGATTTTTGGACAAATGAAGGTGAATGACATGCCACTTAACTTAAAAATATATTTGCATAGTTTACTTTATATTAAAGTTAAATGAAATCTGAACTTGCGAAGCGTAACATTATCGTTTGTATTCGCATTATGGTAGACGGTACAAAAAACATCATTACATTGTTTGTTTGTTTTTAGTTTCAAAAGATCTCGCAATGAGCGTTTAATTTTTTATCCTAGATCGCCAAATTAAAGCTAACATAGCTTTATTCAAATTACCTTTCTTGTTTAGTCTCAGAATTGATATATGTACTTTTATAGAATCCAAATATTTCTCTGGTCAATGATCCGTCAAACTGCAGTTTTAGCAATGCACGGGAAATCTGCACTGATGTCACGGTCTCCACCACCCAGAACTGATTTTCTGCGTACCAGAATGTTTGTTTGATAGGAACATCTTGTCCATTCAAGTAACTAAGCTTTGTTCTTGTTATGTTCAGAAAGTTAGCATGTATAAGAATATGTGTTGTAGACTCCGTGATGTTTAGTTCAACTGTCTCATTACCATAGAACCATCCGTTATCTCCATAGAAATTTGGATACAGGGTAATGTCATAGTGTACTGGAACTACAGTAGCTGGTAGACGAAGATTCTTCCATGGTTCTGACTCACTGATGCTTGTTGGTGATTTTGTTGTTGTTGGAACAGATTCCGTAGATTTTGTACCACTCACAGGTTGATTGTCACCATCCGAAGACGGGTCACACGCCGAGTCAGTTAGGTACCAGACCACGACACCGGTTACAATAGGTAACACAATAACACAAAACACCAGAAAATAGCAGCATCTCTTATTTAACGAAACTTTACTCTTGTCATTATTTCTGCCAAATGGCTCTTCCATATTTATATTTCTCTCTCTTGGCACGGTAAAATAAACCACTTTCACTTGAAGGTTATATTCAGAATATAATTTTATTTACAAATGTTAACATCGCTTTAACGCAGGTAGTGCAGAACGCTACTGTCTGTTTACAACTACTCTTATATCTACACTGTTGATCAGGCCAAACGTATTATGTTCTGTTTGGAGTACTGACATTATAAATCATTTATCATACTGCAGTTTACAAATAATCCCGGGCATGTTCGCACTCGGTATATCCAAGAGGCATGAAACGAGCTTAACCTATGGATTCACTTAGCATTCATTTTAGAAAAGTCCATTCAAAGTTTAAGGGATTTCAATCCATCGACCTACTACCTGTAGACAGCCTCGTGCATGAATGTAACAAAGGCTTATCGGTTGAGCAGATTATGAAATAAAAAATGTCCTTTCATCTGCAGTAACTTATTGACAATGTATGACAATTCAAAATTCATTAATTAAATAATTTGTATTGCTTAAGTCATTATAAAATTATGACTTTATATCAATCTGTGTAACTTTCAATTGAAAATTAATGCATTCGACTGCTCCAGATTTGTGGAGGTATATTCATGTATAAGAAAACTATACACATGAGTGTATACAGTTGTATATTTGATAATTGCGAGCTCGTCAGAATGTAACCCATGCAATAGTAAACTCATTCAGTTTTGTTGTTGTTGTTGTTGTTATTGTTGCTGCTGCTGTTGTTGATGTGTTGTCTTCTATACTCTCTATTTGTTGTTGTTGTGTTGTGTTGTGTTGTAAAACTCTCTATGTGTAGATATTATTGTTGTTGTTGCTGTGTTGATGTTGTTTTTGATGTTGGTGCTGTTATGTTGTTGTTCTCGTCATCGTTGTTATTTGACTGTTTTTATAGAGCAGTACAATATATGAAATAGAGAAAAACAGAATCCCTAAAGAAAGCCCAACACGACAAAATTGTAAAATGTTGCAGGCTCGGTTTGATTGAGCCTGTTCATGGACGGTCCTGGAAAGTGCAAGTTACCGTCCACGCCCCCTAGCACCGGCTTAAGCAGAATTCAACAATTAAGCACAAAAATCGTGAATTTTGAATTTAGAAACATCCGCAGGTGTGTTCATACGGCGGTAATCATGGAACCTTCAATGTGACACAGTAGTGTCATTCCATGAAAAGCGGCGTATGGTCCCCAACAATGGGCGGATCTGAAGTCGAGATCCACCTGGAAGCTAAAATTTCTTTTTTGGCCTGCACAATAATTTTATGTAACTAACCCATTATACTCAGTACACTTCAATGAGCATTTGAAAACTATTGATAAATAGCACTGCAGTTTTTTCATTGATTCATATAGCAAAAAACTCAATTGATATATAACAGTTTTTTTTGCACCTACTACATGTAAATATCGAGAGTGGAGGTTATTTTTTTGCACAGAGGCTCCAATGGGGCATTGGTAACGAACATTCCGAATAATATAAACAAAGATAATAAATGAAATTAAATATATTCTCATACATGTAATTATATAATTATACAACTGCTAACATCAAAAGGTACATCCGCTGAATGATTTATTTCCGCTTGAAAAGTCCTTAAATCTTGAATCCATATTACTTTCTCCAGAAGGTAACAGTTTACAATTCGTCTCTTTAAATTTTCAAGGGTTGTTGATTTATATTCTTTATTTTCTTTTTTTTTTGCGGCTGCGAAAACACGTTCAAACACCTGCCTTATTATAAATAGCTGTAAGTTAGCTTACGACAGCATTAGATAGTATTTGTTAATTTTATCTGGGGTTACTATTTTTTTATTTATTCCTTTTCATTTTTTTATTTTTTATTTTTGGTTAAGTTCTATTACCAAAACAAATTTATGAAATTTGTGTCTCGGGCTGTTTCTGTTTCACGGCCTCGACATTTTTTTAGCTGATACATCCCTAGATGTCGCCCCAGCCAGTGTTATATCCTCGAAACTAACTCGTTTCATATACTATGACAATTACATATTTCACCTGTGGGTTAATTAAATGAGGAGAATATTATCGTGACTTCCCATGTAATTCAGCTCTTTACAATTATTTTTTGCTAGTCCATGGTTTCAATTAAAACTTCTTGTCAGCAGATTCACTTTAAATGGGCAAAACTTTCGGAAATTTACATATAATCCCGTTTCTTTCTTTCTTTTTGACTGATCATATGTAAATGATGTATGTTCACTCAGGTCATATATAAAATGATTATGAATAATAGACACTATAAATTTGATACACAAGTTTGCAGGTACAAGCAAGTTTATAATTTAGTACGCTCCTATTGACATCGATCTATACGATAATATAAATTGTGAACATAAATTATGTCATAGATCTTTCTCTATATTGATGAAAAACACACACACACACACACACGCACACGCACGCGCACGCGCGCACACACACACACACACACCAACACACACGCACACACACACACACACACATTTATAGTTGTGAATATTGGATTTTGTAAAATATGGTGTAAATATTAGAACAATAATTTTTTAATGCATCAGTTTTACAGATAATTTTACTGATTTCGTACCTTAATACTTAATTGTTATAATAAGTAAATATAAATAATTATACTTTTTATGTTGATAACTGCATTAATAAACAAAATTCACTGATGTTTAATTTGATTTTATTGTACATGCATAATGAAATGGTAATGAAATATAAAACTGTGAAATGCTAATTGGAAAAATTCAGTCATTTTTTTTATATTTATTTATTTATTTATTTTTTTTTTTTTTTTTGGGGGGGGGGGGGATACCAATCAGTTATTTTTGATTTTTGATCTTTACTTATGGTTGTTATAGTTGAAGGTAATGATTTAAGTGTAAATAGCCTTTAATATATTAAAGAATTAATATGTTTATAATTGGCCTAAATTTTCCCAATTTCATTCCATTAACATATTTTATTGCCAAAAATAAGACATAATACATACATGTAGACAGTTACAATACAATGACATGACATATTTGGCAAAAAGGGTTGACCCATAAGTTCTCTCAACATTAGCAACGGGTCTTCCCTGATGCAATAAATTACAATAACATATTTTACAAGAATGACTATCAGTTAGATAGAAGTAACAAAACTCGCACATATACAGTACTTGGCTTTAAAAAAATATTTTAAGTAAGAAAGAACAATAAAAAAAATGATTGGGTTTACATGTTCTCTAGCTTGAATAGTATTTAACAATGTTAACTGATTTGTATATAATTTAAGTTACAATGACTTAGAAAACATGTACATTTGCCAAATATAACAAAAACAAACAGAATGCAAATAGACTTTGAGAAAATGAAATAAAGAAGGAAAAAAGAAGACGAAAAAGGAAAGAATCTTGTCTGTTGTTTTGCAAAAATGAAAGAAAAATTTCATTAATATTTAGTGAGATTGTGCTGGTTTGTTTTCAAAATCAAAAGCGTTTGCTTACTTTTATGAAATGCTGAACAGTCAAAAATATTTTATTTTTATTTTCTAAAGACAATCCTTTGTTACCAACTAAAAGTAATTTGACATTTAAAGGGTGAAATTGCCTTAATTCGTTAAAAAGATCAATTCTTTCATTTCGATATTTCTCTTACCTTCTCAAACTAAGATTTACATAAGACCTATATAAATGATATATTTTATTCTGAAAATAAATATTTATATATAATTTATGAAAATATATAATGGTGGTATGTATGAAATGTGGATTAAATATTGATAAGTGTTGATAGATAGCTTAGAATACTTAAATTGACAAGGATATTAATTTAAAAAATAAAAATAAAAAATGCCACAAAACAACAATTTTTCACCAAAATTAGATAAAAGGCAACGTGTCAACATGGAAAGAACTAGATTTTAGGTACTTCCAAGGTTTTTCATCATTTTTTGTTAACCCTTTAATTCATATAGACGTGTTTTGACGGCTATTCGACCCCCACCCTTTTGAGGCCTCAAACAGTGAAAAAATGCACTATTTCGGACCCAAATACTGTTTTTCGTGTGAGAAAATTAATGTTGACAAAAAAGTGTCCAATTTTTCGGCGCCGCCCCCAACTAAAAGGTACATCAAGGGGTTGCCCCTTCTGTTGGGGGGGGGGGGGAAGGGTTAAAAATGGCCTCAGGTCGATCGTAAGAAAACGTGTAACCAACGCTGAAAAGCCTTTTACTTTTTCTGAATGCATTGAGAAATTGCAGCACTTTGAAATCAGTTTTGATGGAAAAAACAATGCAAAATAGTGATTTTTAGCGATTTTGAGACGTCCTCCCGTTGCCAATGTTACAGGAAATTTAAGACTGAGCATGCTGTTACAGAGGCTATGTTCAAGTTAACAGTTGTGCCAAGTTTCATCAGTATTGAAGCATTTTCTATAGTTTCATAGCAGTTTGAACTTGTAACAGGAGGCTTTTCAATGAAAACGGCCATTTTTCACACATGGAAGAAAGGGTTTACAAAAAGAATACGAAAATCTTTCAATTCCATTTTTTGAGACAACAACAGTTCTTATTCTTTTCTTTTCTTTTTTTCATGCATTGTAATATATGCAACATGATTATTTTATGACTATAATAAAATGCAAAAATATTTTAATTTTTTTTTTGTACTACTTGTAATGAAATTTATTGCGGTACGGAATTTACATTACCTACATGTTATTTACTCTTTAATATCTGCATTTTTGTTATTTACCCCCGAGGCCCTCTTATCAGCAGATTAAAACAGTCGCTCTCAGAAAAATATCAATACACGGCATGACTTGAGACTTTCCTCTTCTATAAAAGTATTCTGTTTATACATTATATTTTAACATTGAAATCGTAAATAAAGTTATCAAATTTATTAGTTCATGAAAAAAAAATATACTTTTAAAAGTATGCAAGCATTTCACGGTTGAATACTAAATTATCAGTATATGGATTGTTTTAAAATCAATTCAATGTATTAATACAAATTAATTCTCTTTCAATATTGAACAGGAGGAATTGCCTCTATAATGCATAATGGCATAATTTGTAATTAATCACTCAGGCCTTCGTGCTGCACATCTAAACTCCATACCGTACTATATTTTAGCACTGGTTACTCAAAATCAAGATATATTTCCTAAATGTAAACGTCACGATTGACCAATGAAAAGTGACGTTAAAAACGTGCGGTATT